GAAGCACTTGAGATGAGCCAAACTTGTTTCGGAGCGATATTTCCTGGATAAAATCTGTTTGAAGATAAATACAACTACAACAAACGACAGAAATTATTGAAAAGGGTTCTCAGCGGGTCTAGTCATCTCAAGTGCTTCTAGTCAACATGTACCTTTACTACTATCGAAAATTCTTTCGCTACCAACCTCTACGAACTCTTTTTAATCAAATTTTACGTTTGTAGTAGTCGTATTTATCTTCAAACTGATTTTATCCAGCAAACATCGCTCTGAAACAAGTTTGGCTCATCTCAAGTGCTTCTAGTCAACATGTACCTTTTCTACTATCGAAAATTCTTTCACTGCTAACCTCTACGAACCCTTTTTAGTCAATTTTAACATTTGTAGTAGTCGTATTTATCTTCAAACAGATTTTATCCAGCAAATATCGCTCCGAAACAAGTTTGGCTCATCTCAAGTGCTTCTAGTTAACATGTACCTTAGTACTATCGAAAATTCTTTCACTGCTAACCTCTACGAACCCTTTTTAGTCAATTTCAACGTTTGTAGTAGTCGTATTTATCTTCAAACAGATTTTATCCAGCAAATATCGCTCCGAAACAAGTTTGACTCATCTTAAGCGCTTCTAGTCAACATGTACCTTTGCTACTATCGAAAATTCTTTCACTGCTAACCTCTACGAACCCTTTTTAGTCAATTCTAACGTTAGTAGTAATCGTATATGCCTTGAAACAGTATTCAGGTCATAAAAATCGTTTTCAAAAAATACTCCGAAACGATTTTTTTCTTCTATTTTACTACAAACGAATAAAATTGCACTACAATCCACTACTAACGTTTATCTATGAGAAACAGCCGGAAAAAACTAATTTTTTGATTTTCAGGGGATGACATTTTTTAACTATATATTTTTTTTTGGTATTACTGCTAACGAAAATAGCTTCACTACTATCCACTACTAATCGAAATCTTTCGAAAAACCATTAAAAAAACCAATTTTTCCAAAGTCGGGTGCCAGGTTCACACAGGTTACAAACGAAGCCAATTAGTCCATATACACATACTCATCTCGGGCTTGTTCTCAAGTGGAGCCTCTATTGCAGGAGATATTAGAAATATTTGGGCAAATCTCCAAACAATTTTTATGATTGAAATTTCCTACTATTTCATCTTTTGGGAAATCTTCTATATTTGGGATTTGAACATCTAACATTCTGTGATTGTTAAGTGTGGGAGAGCCTTGCTTCGGCACGAATGGTTTGGCTCGACCGGTGTGATACAGCACAGCGTTGTGTTTGGCCGTGTGAGTGAGGTTACCGGACGTCCAATCCTTCCCCTCCACAAATCATATTTACAACATACTCGTATAATTACGCGGCTTGGTCGCCAGCAGACTGAAGATGCGATGTCACAGCTCCCTGCATGCGGGCGAAAAATTTTCATCTACCCCCTTATTTTTTTTACCATATTAGGCCGTCGACACCCTGCGCTAACCGTATCTACAGATGCGTTAACTAACTTCGAAGGAAATGGAGATTGTGCTTTGCGAATTACTGGATTCCACGTTCACGACAATTTAAAGCCGTTCCTCCCGATTGAAATTGTTTGGGCATTTGTTTATTTGAACCGCTTCGCTTCAGTGGAGATTTGTGATCGGTGGAATTCTATCCAGTGGTTAGAACTAGCCTGGAGCAGGTGTTCTGCTACCGCTGATTTATTGCTCTATCGGTTCTTGACTGCGGCGATATGTTCTTTAACGCTTTGTTTGCCCAATGTAGGAACTACCACGCCTGGGCTTTGTAGCGGCAGTATATCCTTCGCCGTGCCCACCTTATCATGCACTTTGGCCTCAGGTGTGTCATCGAAAATTTTCTAAGGACGGATCCGATCTTGTCTATCACCCCCTTGATATACGGCATGAAGGTAGATTATCTGCTCACGTTTGGATGTCTGGCCCTCTTCCGCGGTCACAATAGTCGCCCATCCCCTAAGCTATATCCCTTCTTTTTAAGTACCTTCTGAGCAAAAATCGTGGCGTCCCTTCTTAATTAATTATAGCACAAAACATGTAACAATACTTCGAGATGGTGATCATTAATCACAATACAAGACAGAATCATTCATTCACCATCTCGAAGTATTGTTACAAGACATGAAGAAAACTGATGCTCTGAACTATGAACGTCCAACTTGTATAAGGAAATTGTTTAAAAAACATATATTCTTATCAAAATATTATAAGAGCGGCAGTGAATAAAACAGTGAATTAATTATCCCACTTGAGACTTAAAATATAACAAGTTGCTGAGTTTTTTTATTACTATATTTATTATATATATTTTTTTATCCACTTGGGGTTAAACCCTCCCCAAGAGGGAGTTTATTGCGACGCAATGCGCAAATCTTATCTGCTATTCGATACAGATATGGCATGAATTGGGGCATAATTTATTATGAGACTGATATGAGCAATGGTGGTTGTTTACAAAGAAAATAATAATGATTGTGTTTGAGTGTGTTAAAATGAGTTGATGTGTGTAATGTGTACGTGCTAGTATGTATGAGTGTTGTTTAAGTGTTATTGAATTTTGTGAGGGTATTTACGATATATGCGTGGTGTGTCATGAAGGTGTTTGTGGTGTGTTCTTCGGAAGTGATTTGTTCAAGATTGTATGGGTCAATTTGGTGATGGTGACATAGTTGTTCGTGTGTAAGCGGGTGTTTATGTATCGTGGACAGTGTCTTAAGAGGTGTAAGAATGTCTGTGTTGAGGTGCCGTCACAGGGGCATGTGTCATCGTTGGTGATATGGAAGCGGTATAGGTATGATTTATGATAGCCATGGTTGGTGAGAAGTTGAGTGAGGGCGAAGGTGTGGCCGGTTTTGTTGATGAGTGTGTGTATGTGTTTGAGAGTGGAGCACCATATTCTTATGGTAGCTCCCTTAGGGTTATTGATGTAAGATTCGGCGGCTGTATTGTGGCTATCGATTTAAGCAAGTCTTTTGGGATAGCTTAGTGAAAAGTTGTGAAAAATGGGTGAGGTAGATAGATCCGCTGCGGCCTTGGCTGCCAGGTCCGCGCCCATTTCGTCGCGCTTCGTCTCTTTGTGTATCCCTTTGAGGATGGCTAGTGGTAAGCGGCGTCTGGGTTCGGTGGCTTGGAGGGTTTTAGCGGTGGTGATAGTACGTTTTACCTCCTCCTTCTGAGGGACAGAATCAAATTCAATATAAACTCTGCCCTTGTTTAAAGTTTTTATTTAAGCTGGTGCGAAGCTGCTGTCTTTAAATGTGACTTGTTGTTTGAGCAGGTCGAGGGTCTTGATGGAGGGCGGTGGTGAAAATGTTGGTGAGTTGCTATCTGGAACGGTGGTGGTGGATTCTATTATTAAAGCTGGTTTACGGAGTGAGGGTAGTGCTGGCAAGGAAAGTTGCTGTGTGGATGTGGCTGATGCGTAGGTTCTTCTGTAGTTGAGGTTGCCTGCGGTTATTAGTTTCGAATTTTTAATGCTGTTTTTGATGGTGTGGTGGATTTCAGCTACCAGTTCCTTTTTTAATTGCTTTAATTCATCAGCAAGGTTGGCATGGGTGGCGGTTGGCAGTGGCAGTGGCGACGGGTGAAGAGGGAGCGTCTTTACTAGTTTTTGAATGTCCTCAGCGGCTTCCTTAATGGATCTCTTATTAGCGGCAGAAACGCGGCGAGGCGAGCTATCTGAGTTGGAATGTCTTTGGACGTCTCGTTCGTGTGATTGGATGTCTCCTCATTTATATTACTATACACTTTCAGATATTAAGATTATACGTTATTCTATTGCCCAGTCCGATACAGATAAATTAATAAACGGCACAGCAAAAATAACACAAGCACATGGAAATAGATATGGATAGTTAACACTTTTACACAGCAGAAGAGAAGAAAGCAGTCAATACAGTTATAATACTCGTAGCAGAAAATGTATTGGGGACAGAACAGGGTTGTTAAACCTAATTAATCTTTTAAAATTACTCTTTTTCAATAAAGTATTTTTCCTTGAGAAATGTCGATCCAATCCTTGCTTAGCAACTTTTATTATTATATTAGACTATGGAGAAAAATAAATTCGTTATAAATATGATTATGTTCATTTCAAGTAATTACAACGTTGTAAAAGTACATTTATGTCGTTATTCAGTAAGAGCGTAGAACAGTTGTGTGAGTGTGACACCCCCTCGCTGCAGCCTGCGTATCGATCACTAGGCTACCTCTGCCTCCACTCGTCTCGAACGAGCAAATGCGACGATTTAATATTGGGAGTTCAAAACTCTTGTTACCGAATTAGCCGTTTAAATAGCCCAAAAACGTGTTTACTTAGGTCTGATATAATAAAAGGGAAGAATAAAAATCCTTCTTTCGTTACTTACTTTAAATAACTTGAAATAAGAACAATCAAAACGAAAATAAGTTTGACGGCGCATTGCTAGCGCCATTGGTTGAGAAATACGTCGGAACGAGATTCGACATAGGTCAGTCTGGCAGAGCGTCGTGTCGATGGTCAGCGCGGCCATGTTGAACATGACTTGTTTTGAAAAACTAGACTTAACTAACTAATTAGAATTAACTAGATTTTAGTGAATTTCGTAAGCTGTTTCGTACTTTGTGCGATTAAAGAACTTTTGATTGTGACTTTGGTGATTCTTTTGTTCTCGCCGACTTTACATTTACGCACACCACATTATAGTTATTGAAAATATGGCTGATTCTGATAATGAAGGGTCCCCGCTCAGAAGTTCATCTATTTTGAGTTTTATTCCGTATGCATACTGATATCACCGAATGCATTTAAAATAATTTTAACACGCATGCGTCAGACTATCGACTACCTAGTTTCTCCTAGCCGGCCATCTAGCATGGTTAGTATTCGAAAGCTGTAACAAACGGCGAGAGGTGTATTTGTAAACATGTAAGTAATGTATTATCTACCTATTAACATAATATTTGCAAATAGATTGATACAATATTAGCAATGGTCATGATCGAACCCCATTATCTGGTGTCAGGTGTCGTGTCTTGCGTCCGCGGCCGTTCTATCAGTGATTATTAAATTTTATTAGTATAAAATACTTATATAGTAACAGTCGATTGTAAAGTATCACTAACCATCTTTAATTTTTCAGACAAACTAATTAAAAGCAAGAATACTAACTATAAACTACTATACAAGCTACCAGTGAATATGTCCGAACTGGAAAAGGTCGATGCCCGTGTAAGTTTATAAAATGTATTTGTGATGTGAATGTGTTACAATTACAATGTATGGTCGAATGAAAAAAGAAGCTATTTTAAGCCTCCCGATCAATTACGGGACTTATTAAACAATTACATAGTTTATGTTCGTTTTTCAGATAAGCGAAATGAGCGATGCAGAGTCGACGCAGCAACATGAACATGCTGTGCAGGTCGAGTTGCCGGTCGCAGGCTCGGAGTTGGAAAAGATCGATGCTAGCGTGAGTACTAATCAGTTAATTTTATTTGTATCATGTAGGTTATGCTTGTAAAATTTTGCAAGATGGATGTTTTGTGCGATAACTTTTCTTTTACTTCTTATCTGCAACATAAGTTGGCCACGGTACGGAACGCTATGCCCATACGCTCGGTTCTGGTTCCGTATATACATGATTTTTACATTTTAATTTAGCATCGTGCAAATCTGACAGATCACTGGAAACTAGAGAAAATAGTTTCAAAACTTTTAACATTTTATTGAAAGCCTAGCTTTCACCAAGGGCTTCGAATGCATGGTGTTTTAATAAAAAGCAGACTATGAGACAAATAACAAAATCGAATTATCCATAAAATTAGTTATTACACGTCTCAATTTATGGTTAATTGGTAAAAACCCTATAACTTACTAAGTCTCTGCTGTGCATCCGTCTATAGATATAATGGTATGGATCTAACATACACATTATATCATAGGTAAGTATTGTAAATACCTAATAAAACCTATGTGTTATTATATACTCGTATATACGGTGCCACATCGAGCATAGTTACTGTACCAAAAGTGTGTGTTCAGTAGTGTTCATGTGCCACGGCGCGATGGCTTTTAGCATATTTAAAGTATAAATTTGGTATTTCTAAGGCTGTACACGCGACGAAAACTTATAAAATGGAGCACAGGAATTTCTCACGTTTTCCCAACATTTTCCTTCACTACTCTACTTCTATTAATTGTACCGTGATGAAAAGTATCCTATAGCCTGCCCAGGATTATAAAGAATAATTGTACCAAGTTTTGTTAAAATCTGTCGAGTAGCTTTTGTTCCTATAAGGAACATACAGACTGACAGACAAAAAATTTACAGATTACATTTTTGGCATCAGTATCGATTACTTATCACGCCCCCCTGAAAATAAATATTATTTTGAAAATATATTCTATGTACAGAATCGACCTCTCTACAGATTTATCTACGAACTTGTCATATAAGCTACATTTTAACAGCATAATTTCTTATATAGAAATGAATTGCTGTTCGTTACTCACGCTTAAACTCGAGAAAGGCTGAAGGTTTATTGTGGTCTTGAAATGTTGCTGGATATACAAGGAAGGTTTAAAACTTCAGAGAATATGACCTAATTAAAAAAAAATATTCGAGGCAGGACGAAGTTTCTGGTACAGCTAGTTATAAGTATAGATATAGATAATTCAAGTAAGATAATAGATAATAACGGTAAAAGAAACAATAATATAATTCTACCGTATATTGCACAATCATTTTGTGATTCCATACGTGATTGCTACACTTTTGTAAATTAACAATGCAATATATACATATCGTATCTAAGGGTAACAATTGTTGGTGAATCTAATAAATAAATAATAATTTTCAAAAATGACCCAAAAGCGAACCCTATTTAAGAAATATTAAGGGCGGGACCAGCCGGTAGAAAAAAAATGTAGCGATGCTAGTGAGGGGAAGGGGCAGGTAGTGTAGAAAGGATAATTACTATCTTTCTCGCCATAACACGCCTTGATTTCTATTACCTATAGGGAAATCTATGTATACAAAAGAAAGTCAACTTATAACTCATCTTATAACTCAAGAACGGCTGAACCGATTTAGCTGAAAATTGGCAGGGAGGTAGCTTAGAGCCAGAAGAAGGACATAGGAAAGAGTAGGTAGTGTAGGTTAGTTAGAGTAGGGTAGGTACAGTAGGGTAGGTAGAGTAGGGTAGGTAGAGTAAGGTAGGTAGTCAAATGACGAGGGCGACGCCGCGGGTAAGAGCTAGTTTTATATATTGTTGACGACAAGTTTATTTAATGTGACCGTAGTTTATTATACATTTAATTATACTACCTGAAAACATGTAAACAATAAAATAAAAACTCTTACTTGTTGTTCGGATTGATGATATTTATGATATCGATGGTAATAGTTAAAATCTGTTTGTAATTGTTATAAGTATTACCAAAACTGCCTTTTTATATTTTTAATTGACGATTTCCCAGAAACTTAGATAATATATATGAATAATAGAATAATAGACCTCATCTATCTCGTTCGAATGGCGAATCAACCTAAAACAAGCATAACTTTGCTTAAAAGGCCAAGTGTCGTATTTTGTAATATGCATGCATAAGTTGATGAAATAAAAATTTTAATTTTTGTTATGATTCATGACTATATTAAAAACGTAAAAAGGGAGAAAATGTGGCGCTCAAAGGGGCGTAATGCTTTCATATTTAGTAGTACCACACCACATTTAACAAGATCGCTACTGCCTATCTTTTCGGTATGACAAAATATAATTTTACGTTTTACAGCCAATTATATCACTCCACTCATAAATTAACAAAATAATTATTTTTTAAAGGCCAGCTACAATACAGTAATTTGTAAATTATATACAACCAATGTCTGCAAAGCGAAACTAAGTTGTTTCTATCAGCAAACCGAATTTTGAAACTTGGCGAGTTGGTAAATTACTAACGCGACGTCCTTAGTGACATTAAGGCTAAGAACTCACGGAGCGATTTTGAACCGTGCCCGCCGCGGTAGCGGAACTGCGGTTTTACTTCCAAACTCACGAGACCGGTTATTTGCGCGGTTACACAGCCGCCGCGGTTGCGATCATCGCCCGCAAACGTGGCGGGCGATGATCGCAAGATTGCAAGACGGGCGGTTAACGATCAGTTGAGGTCCAGACCGCCATGGACTCACACCAGAAATGAGTCGTTGCGTTATATTTACTTCACAGAAGACCCGCCGGCCCCCGCGGTCTCTCGCCAACCGATCGCAAAGCGCGCGGGTGCTACCCGCCGAGGCTGCGGGTAACCGCGGCCCGCGCGATTCTACTAGTTGCCCGCCCGTACAGCGGGAGCCGCATACAACCGCGTACACCTAGCCTAAGGCTAAGAACTCACGGAGCGATTTTCGCCCGCGTCCGCTGCGGTTGCGGGCCCGCAGTTTCTGTAGAATTGAAATATTTATATAAAAAATTAAAGCACATTTCACGACGCGTTTTACGCCCGCGGTGTACGCGGTTGTATGCGGCTCCCGCTGTACCGGCGGGCAACTAGTAGAATCGCGCGGGCCGCGGTTACCCGCAGCCTCGGCGGGTGGCACCCGCGCGCTTTGCGATCGGTGGGCGAGCGCAGGCGGTACAGAGATCCGGCCTTTTTGCATCAGTCACTTGTTATAACACGTGGCATCGTGACGTTGTCAACAAACAATAAGTATAATATTCTAAAAAAATGGATATTGAAATAGATCTCTTAATTACCTTAGTACAAGAAAGTTCTATGGGACAAGAGTTTGGAAGAATACAAATACAAGAATTTGACGCTCAAAGCATGGGAGGAAGTCTGTACTATTTTAAATAAAGATTTTGCAAATTCGGACGAGAGAAATAAAAAAGAATATGGTTAGTATTATACAGATTTATTTATAAATGTCAGCGGCACCATTCTTTTCTTTATTGACTCGGGTTTCCTATAACTACAATAATTTATTAACTTAAATTTTTGATAATTGCCAACTTAAGGCTCCACTGTCACTCATAAAATATTGTTGAAAAACATCTCTTATATTATTGGCTTGTCTTCCGCTGCGTACTGATTGAGCTATCTGTATACTCTCAAGATTATGACTAAAATCTTCTTCTGTAGTGTGATGGCCGTCTCGTTTTCTTACGAAATTGTGAAGTATGCAACATGCCTTCACAATATCAATTGATAAAGTTATTGATACATCTAAAGGTCGATTAAATATTCGCCATTTGTTTGTTAAAATGCCAAATGCACATTCTACATATCTCCGTGCTCTAGATAGGCGATAATTAAATACCCTTTTTTGAACACTCAAAAACTGACCACCATAAGGTCGCATTATATTTTGATATAACCCGAACGCCTCATCGGCTACGAATATATATGGCACAGGTGGTAAATTAGATCCGGGTAATATTTTTTCATTGGGAAGTTTGATGGAATCGCTATTAAGCGCATTCCAAAAAGTTGTGTTTTTGAAAATGGTTGAATCAGCATTACTTCCCGGGGCTCCGATGTCTACAAAAACAAAGCAGTAATCCGCATCAACTACAGCCATTAACACAAATGAAAAATAATCCTTATAATTGTAGTAAGTTGAGGCACTGTTATCTGGTTTGATTATTCTTATGTGTTTCCCGTCTATTGCACCGACGCAGTGAGGAAAGTTTGCGAATTTGTAAAATTTTTGGCTGATTTCTTCTAAAACTTCTGTAGTGATTACCGGAAAACATTCAAGCAATAACACCTCCCATAATTTTTCACATGTTATTCTTATAATTGTCGATATAGTTGTGTGCCCAATTCTGAATGTGTAATGCAAATCTTTCATTGAGGTCCCACTTGCTAGGTATCTGAAATAAATAAATTTACTTAATTATATGTTTTTCAGGAAACATGGTAATTAAAAAATGGAAAAATATTAAAGATTGCTGGATGAAAAACAACAAAAAAGTTGAAACAGAAACAAAATCTGGATCGGGAGCTAAAAAAACCAAAAAGTACATATATAATGATCAGTTACAGTTTTTGAAAAAAAAAAATGCCTATTGAAAATACCTCCTCAACCTTAACAAACAGTGATACAGCTCAACAAACTACTAATACTACTACTGTTGCATCAACGTCGGATTATTTTGCTACACCTACACCAGTCTCTTCTCAAACAGCTGCTGCTAAAAAGAAAAAAAAGGAAGACCCCGACAAAGCATTAATAGAGTTGTTGTCTCAAAGCGAAGATAGACATTTGTCATTTTTTCGTGGAATTTTACCTTCATTGCAAAATTTTGATGAAGCAAAAACAAGAAAATTTCAAATAGCAGTTTTACAAATTATTGATAATCTTGATAATAATCTTCCAGCATTTTCATCTTATCAATATACATCACACAACTACAATCAAGAGAATAACAGTAATAACTATTGCGGCTATCGTACCTCCTCTTCTTACCAGTCTACTCCTGAAAGCAATACCCAAAGTGCTCAAAATCTTCCATCAGTCTCGTCACTAAATACTATTTTGTCCAATTTGTCAGATGATGTGTATTTTGAGTAAATAAATATAATGATTTCAATATTACCACTAGCTTTATTAAAATAAGCAGACTTACCTTAATGTTACTGCTAACATTTCCTCCGGTGATATAGGATCTCGCATATTAGTATGTTGTTTTTGAAGAGCAGTTTCCATTTTTCTTAAAAGTTCTAAATAACTAGATACGGACATTCGAAAATAATTAAAGAATTTTTCTTCGTCCTTCTTTAATTCACTAATAAGAATAACAAATAATCCATAACGATCTCTGTCCTTAATCAGTGGATGCACCCAGAACCTTTTGGGCCTTCTTTTTTTTAATTCTTCTGTGAAGTAAATATAACGCAACGGCTCGTTTCTGGTGTGTGTCCATGGCGGTCTGGACCTCAACTGATCGTTAACCGCCCGTCTTGCAATCTCGCCGCGGTTGCGATCATTGCCCGCAAACGTGGCGGGCGATGATCGCAACCGCGGCGGCTGTGTAACCGCGAAAATAACCGGTCTCGTGAGTTTGGAAATAAAACCGCAGTTCCGCTACCGCGGCGGGCACGGTTCAAAATCGCTCCGTGAGTTCTTAGCCTAATACCTTTCGGTAGTTTTTATTTGTGATCGGATTTTTACATAAAATGGCAAATGATTGAAAGAAAACAAAATTAGTTATAACTTTTGATCCGTTAAGAATTTAACCATTGATACCTTTAACTTCCAATATCTAGACGAAGTAAGAAAATTACCTCGTCTATTATCCCAGTTTATTAGCCCGAATACTTAGTGTTTTTTCATAAATCTTTTGGCCTTTTTCAGATGAGTGACTCAGAAGCGCCGCAACCCCAACTGGAAGAAGCTACGCAGAAGGTGTTCGATTTAGAAACTGCTGATGCGAACGTGAGTTAACAATTAACTTATTATAAAGAGCTTATTCCACTGACATTTTTGCATTATTCTGTAATTCGTCAATAGCATTTGAAAATTTTACAAATATTTTATTTTGGTATCTTCTTCTGACTAAAGCAGAAAAAAATATGGTTTATCTAAGATATATAATAATATCATAATCATCGCATCATTCATAACAATCGGTTTAATCAGAGGGTTGTTCCCGCACCCTTTGTGTGATCCACAAATTGTTGTTCCAGGTCTGTGTGTCATGTGCATGTGAAATTGTATGTTTGTAACCGCACCCACGACACAGGAGAAAATCCTAATGTTGGGCAACGTTTTTTTAAAGATAAAAGTTAAATAAAAATCAATCTTTTGTTGTTATTATAGTTTGCCAATAAAACTGCCTACCTGCGAATTGATTATAATTTTAGTAGATCGCAATTAGCAACATCTATACGTTATTAGCGAATTATTCACTGTTATCATACATTATGTTTATCTTAATGGAAGCTACAGCGATTTCAAATACCAATGTGTAAGGTCTCGGTCTCGGGATCTAGCTGGCAGCGGGCCGCAGGAGCACGCGGCGTCGCGGGCAACGCATACTTGTTATCAAAATCAGTATGCATATTCAGCCGGGGTCGCGGTGCAAGCGAAATAAGGCACTGCGGCCTCGGCCTAGAGCAGGAGAAAGAAGGGGTTTAGTCAGTAAGAGTCCAACACTCCCTCTCGCCTCACCCTGGGCGGGAGAAGTCATTTGATCATTTTCCCCTTACTAAAAAAGCATGAAGGTCGCGCGGCATTTAGTTTTGTGTTCGTGCTGAATCACTATCCAAGTAGTAGTAAAAATCCTTGCAACAGACAATACATTTTAAGATCTAAATAAGGAAACCAAAATCAAAGTAAAATTTACAACAAACAATGCAAATTACTAATGTAAATAGAAATAAAATTTTGTTTCTACACCAAATTAAGACTTTTAAGCTCTCTTTCATAAAGTACGTTATTTACAGTACCAGTAATGTTTGTTGCGGCAGTCGAAATTGCACAACACTACAATGCAGATTCGCGCACGAGCGTTCAGTCACCGCTTAACTAGAACGCATTGCTCGGTGCCCAATGCATCTGATCATTTTTACAACTACCATATTATGGTTGTTTTATATTTAACTACTATACTAACTAACAGGCCTACTACTATTTTATGATACAATCAAGATAAAGTTACTCAGTTATAAATTGTTTACTGTTTCATATTTTCAGGAGGTGATGGATGAGATCATTCGCGTCACGCAAGTCAACTATGAGTACATGAGTATGTCACTTGTCCACCAAATAGAAAATAAACTATTGAGCTTCCATTCCTCTATACCTTAATTATAAATGTTTTCAGAGCAAAGGATGGCTAACCCGAGTCCATACGGCCCAAATGGAGGTAGTATGACTGAAGAAATTTTAAAGAAATATGAAGAAAAGGATGCGATATTGGACCTATACTTCGATAGACTGAAGACGCTGCTGCAAGAGGCTACACCGGGTTTCACGGAACTCCAGATTCAACAGCGGCAGCTTGCTGCAGCTGTAAAGCTCAACAACAACATGATATTCTTTTAATTGTTTTTATTTAAGAAACTACCTAAAAACTACACCGTCACCGTCATTCTTTACGTATACTCAATAAATACTTTATGTATAAAATGATAAATATGATTTAAAAAAGTTCCCTGTCTATTGATAGGAACTGCATTTCACAAAAAATATATTACAATATACACCTAATCAACAACCAATCAGAAATTACATTATAACAGGAGATAAGTTAATTTTAGCGTTGACAATCCTTTCAGAAACCGGATTTAAGTTTATTCTAGAATGTTCCACATATAAATACAATTTATTTAGTTCTAACGTATAATTAACAGAAAAACATATCTGTATTTCAACTTCCATTGCAAATTTATTACAAATAATACTATAGATTTATAGATTTACTATTTTTACCGTGGTTTATTTAAAGAAAGTACAAAATAACACTGTATCAGGATTTAACGTATTCTAAATAAAGATTTGAGAATAGTAATTTTACTTTATTCTCTTTTTCTTGAGGGGAAAATCAACAAATAACTTCTCTCGGATCCCAGGAGGGGCGAGAGGGAGTGTCAGACTCTTTTTTCCCCTGTTCCTTCTCCTGCTTTAGGAAAAACGTTCAGAAGCCAAAAGGCTCTTCCTGGGCTATGTTTGGCGCAAAGGACTGTAAGCCGGTCGTCAAAAAACGACCTCAAGTTTTAATTTAATTTTAAAATTAGTTTTAGGTGATATTTAAGTTTAAAATACGTTTATTTGTGTTAGAATACATACGTAATTATTATAGGCAGTGTGTGCCTTGTAATATTAATAATACTTCCGCCACAAAACCGAAAAGTTGTTGCACCTGTCAATGGACGGAGATATCAACTAATTTGAATCGTTAAACCAGGGGAGTATATGTGATAATTACTGTTATTTTTTTTACTTGCAATAAACTGCGATCCCTGTGCGATGACTGTGCTTGACTGCGATTCCACCTGATGGTAAGCAGTGATGCAATCGTTGATGGTATTTACCATATTATTATGATAATAGGAAAACCAATAAAATACTACATAAAATCCTGTGTATAACGTCCGAAAGTCGTATATTGTAGAATATAACACAAAGTGGGTAAACTTGTAACTAGGTACTTAGAAACTAAATATTCTATGCTAGGTTGCTATTAATTGTGCTGTAGAATCAGTTTAGATTATACCCTTAAGCAGTATTATTAACTTTGATTAACCTAATTTGTGCCCATGTTTAAGTATATGACTATTTAAGGAAGAATTAGATTCCAATCATTTGCTCCCACCTACATATTAAAAAAAAATTTGAACTGAGCTATTATTTAAATTTGAAGTTATTTATTGTTTCTTTTATTTTCTTTGTCTACGTCCCATACTTTAGACACTATAACTCATTCCCTTCTTTGTCAATTTCCCTGTCTTTCTTTTTGCTGTCCTTTTTCCTTTATTTCAGTGTTTCACTTCTACATACCTAACAGTATGATGACCCGGGCAAAGGAAATGGAAAGTAAACTGAGGGCAGCGCTTCAGGAACTGGAGTCGTCCAAACTTCTTTGTGACCAACTGCTGCAGGAGAGAGACGACAGTGAAGTGGAAGTGAAGAACATTATTAATAAGAATACCAAACTCAAGAATGAATTGGCCGAATTACATGTATGTCACACAGACCTGCTAGACCAGCATACTAGATTGTTTAATGAAATTACTGCTTTTAAGGAATGTACAGAGACTCATGAACATGCTCAGACACGCATATCACAACTTGAGCATGATCTCAGAGAAGCGCATAATACAATTAACAAACTAGAGGCTAGTAAACAATTAGTGCAGTCAAGTGATACTCTCTGTCTATATGATGAGTTGATTGGTGGTGGGTCTGGTGACATATGTGAGCCGGCTATTACCATAGATTTGACTGGTGATGATACCATCCCCTCACACCCTGTACTCAATAGTCATAATAAAATTAAAAAATATATTAGGTTAAATAAAACGATCAGAAAATTTAAATAAAAAAAAACAATTAGGGGACAAAATCTTTTGAAGCAAAATTAAACCTAAGAAAACAAAAAGTTATTTTAAGTCATGAACTAAAATGTTGTAATAACCAAATTGATCAAAGTAGGGACTTATGTGAAGTAGATATAAATGCTCTCCGAGAACAACTTCTAAAAAGAGAAATATTTATAAATGATTTGTTCCAAAAGTATGAGTCGGCCCAACTAGAAATTAATAAAAATATGGTTGAAGCCGGCAAGCTTGTAGATTTAGTAACATACAGTGCTGAACGATATGGGTCCCTTGCAAATAATCTGTCATGTAGCTGCTCCCATGCCCCAGAGCCGAAGCCTATGAATCAAGTCCCTAAAATAACACAAGAAATAATTAAATATAACACTTGTGTATTTACTGACTCAATGGGCATAGGTATTGGATCACTTATTTCAAACAGCCTAAATCATAATTGTGGTATAACTAACTACTGTTACCACAACATAAAATTTTGTGAGTTGATCAACAAAATAGCCCAGGGACATATCACAAGACATCAGCCTGTTGTTTTACTGATGGGTGATAGTACAGGTTTAGAAAGCAGGATATTATTGATGGTATCAACACCTTAATAAAGCTGGATTTGGGAAAGATAGTTTTATGTGTTTTACCATAGTTAGAAAGACCTCTGCCGTTGAAAAAAGTTTGAAGGTTCAGTAAGTGAGTAAGTGTCAGCCAGGACATATTCGGTACGTGTGATGAACAGATGGCATCCGTAAAAAATCATTAAACTTGTATTGTTTTTGATTATTTTGTGTACTTTACGAAATTACTATTTTTACGATAGCAACCTTTAAAACCATTACACAAACGTGTGTAGTGCAAACTCTGATAAGCAAAAAATCTTTCAAGAATAGCTACTTGAAAGATTTTTTCAAGAAGACAGATTACAATTCTGTAATTATTAATTTTCTTCGCAGTTGGAGTGGAGTTCTTATCTAGAATTCTTAATTCCAACTTTTTAATATGTGAGTACACCTAAAAAGGAGGATTGTGGTGTGTTTATTCAACAAAAGTGTGGGAGAGCCATGCTTCGGCACGAATGGGTCGGCTCGACCGGAGTGATTCCACGGCCTCACAGAAAACCGGCGTGAAACAACCACACCGTTGTGTTTCGCTGTGTCAGTGAGGTTACCGGGGGCCCAATCCTACCCCACCCCCAATCCCTCCTCAATCCCTAAATCTCCAAATCCCTAATCCCTAAAAGGTCGGCAACGCACTCGTAAATCCTCCGTTGCGGGTGTCTATGGGCGGCGCTGATTACTTACCATCAGGTAATCCGTCTGCTCATTTGCCGATCTATTACATAAAAAAAAAGGTAATGGATTTAAAATTTATTAAGACCGACTGCCAAGGTCAGTATAGTAAAAAAAAACAACTCATCATCTTTCATGCATACACTAAGATCATAAAGACTTTCAGCAGTTTCAATTTTTTACAAAGGATTGAGAATGTAAGCGCATGCGTAGCTTTATCGACAGGACGACTGACTGAATATCGAGAGGACTAGATTTAGGACGCCTCCCCAGTCTAACTGCTCGCTGCATACTTGAGAGTCGTTTCTGTTGTCGTAATCGATTGATAGTATTAAAGCGTCTGTTTACAAAGTAAGTTTTATTATTTGTTTCTGTTTTGGTCATAAAATTAAAAGAGGATCATTGTGTGTGAATGTAAATGGAACAAAGTTTAAATGTCACCAAAATGTGTGTTATGGATAAACAGGAAATAACTATTGTATAATAACAATATTATCTGAGAATTTATAATTGTATATCATAACTATTAATGTTATGTGAGGGGAAATTGCATTGGATTACCATTCATTGAATTTATTTTAACTTTAACTTGAATATATTTTATAGTGGTATTCAAAATGGCGGGTGCGTCCTGCAATATGCTTGCACCCGTATCCGTAACAATAGCATTATAAGAATCTAGTAATTCATTAACAAATTTAAAAATGTCAGACTCAATATGGATATTATTTAAACGTCTAATAGTCGTGATTTATTTCAGATGGCTGACCAATCACAATGCAATTGCCATTGTACTCTCCATGACCACAAAAGGCAACCATCGGTAGACCAGTCAGAAGAATTTCGCTTTCCCAAGAAAGTGGCTTATTACGAAGTAGACGTCGTTCAAGTTTTCGTAAGTATATATTATTTTACGTTTTAAACTAGCAAGCTGGCTGTTAAAAATTGCAGTGCGTCCACAGGGCAACCATGCGAATATACTAGCGCACATATCACTCTCGAGTAGTCTAATATACAAACGACGCTACAAAATGCGCGTGAGCGTTACATTCGCCAAACAACCAAGGTTTCAGGTATTTAAGAATCGAGATGGGATAGGGTTTTTTTTTGTCAGGGGAAAATCATCCAATGACTTCTCCCACCCAGGGTAAGGCGAGAGAGAGTGTCAGACTCTTACTGACTAAAAACCCCCCCGTTCCTTCTCCTGCTGTGGGCCGAGGTCGCGGTGCCTCATTGCGCTTACCCCGCAGCCCCGGCTAAACATCAGCCCTTTAGGGCCCCGACTGTGGTGGTCTATTGGCTCTTTGAGGCGCGCGCGGAACGCTACGCGCCGTACGCTCGGGTCCGGTTCTGGTCGGGCGGCGAGCTACCCTTACTCGCCGTCCGCAGACCCGCGCTTACGGTGGCCGGAGATCATCTCTCGGAGATGGGATAGGGTGAGGAGTGAGATTGGGCCTCCGGTAACCTTACTCACACGGCGAAATACAACATTGTGGTTGTTTTACGCTAGGTCATGGTTGTACTTTCTGTGAAGCCGTGGTTACTGGTCTACCGGTACTCCGGCCGAGTCGACCCATTTGTTCCGAAGCTTAGCTCTCCTTCACTTAATAAACAGAAACATGTTCTAATTTTTTGTCCCTCTTATTTGCAGGATGTGCTCAACAGAATTGTGGCGCTTATAAAGATCCAAATGCTGCGTAAGTATCATTTATTAACTTGACTACATCAGGCAGAGCCCAAGGTTCTTCGATTTTGTGAAATATTTTGCTGGAACTGTTATTAGTGAAATCCTAGTCTTAATTAAACAAGCTTCAGAATTTATGACAGCTCACAGATTCCCACGTCATACAAAAAAAATGATAGAGACCGGGAATTTGAAAACATTTCTTTTATTTGAAAATTGCTTGCTTTACGGGATTTCATTTTTCTATCTACTGTTTGCATAATATATAACATACATACATATTATATTGCCAGAGATATATATAGGTTACTTATGAGTAGGCGAGCTGTATATAGCGAAAGAGTGCGCCATTGCCAAAAAATCAATTTTGCTAGAGCATATATGTAATTACTATGATTTCACGAATAATAGTTAGAAATAAATTGATTATAACGTTTTCTATGATGGAATCTTTACATTTCTCTAAGCAATTGCAAACGTGGCTGATAACATGCAATAGACCTACCTATGATGAGATGCAGTTTTGTTGTAACTAACAAATATAATTGTGTTTTGTCTTGACTTTAATGAGCAAAAATTGAAAAGACACTTAAAACACACCTGACTGGTTTTTGTATTGTTTATTGTTGGATAAGCAATTCTCAATTTAATATCCTTCTTCTGAAAAGTTTAGTTTATACAAAGAGGATCTTATGATGATTACAGGTGATCGATACATCTCGCCAGACTCCAGCTACGAGACACTTACCCACATGATCCGTTTGAAAATGAAAGATGATGCTCATATGGAGGCATATCTAGCTGAGATGATGTACCTATTGAAGAGACCTAATCGGGTAGAATACGAGTTTGAATTAATTGAACCTAACACCAAATCCGGATCTGAGCCTGATGGCGGTACCGCTTCTGGGACCGCTGGTACTGCTTCTGATTCTGGTTCTGGTGCCGGCACCCAAATTAATGCTCGTTCACCCTCTCGCGGCCGTGGCGTATGCCCAACACGATTCTCTGGTCCCCGCTACAGCTATGGCATCGGTTTCCCCTACGGACGCGGCTCCCGCTTCAGCTACGGTGCCCGCTATGGTTCACGGTTCGGCTCCGACCCCCGCTACGGCACCGACTCTCGCAACGGCTCGGACAACCGCTATAGCTACGGTGCTCGTATCGCTTCTCGCCATGGTTCTGGGTCCCGGTACGGTTCTAACTTCCGCTAAATGCCAGCCTTCCTGGTTCAGTCAAGAAATTTAAAAAACAAGTTAAAGATTTTATAACAAATTCACTTTTATTCTGATAACTATGTTAAATAACAAACTTCCCTATCCTGCCAAAAATGGTTTTATTAATATATTTTTTGTGTAGTTTAGGAGCATTGCCTGCTCAAGTCAGTATGAAACTCCGATTGAGTAAGGGTGGCTAGCTGTTGCTAGTAGTTTTATTATTAATACCAAAAAATATATTTGACAGTTATTAGTAAAATAAAATATAAGACATTCGCTTGATTTTTCTATGATGTCTAAATGATATGTACACAATATGTACTATACATATGTATACATAAATAATGCGATGTTTTTTATCGTGTTTTACACAACTCTCATCTACTTTATTGTCTACTAATGTTCTATCGTCAGCCACACATATAGTTGTATTGCATTTTATTACGAGTATATATTAAAAATCCTCAGGCTTTCACATCGCCTTTTACATAGAAATTTCAAACGAAACGAAATATGTGTCCACTTATAAATCTTAATATATTTGCCCTTTTACACAAACAGAAACTTAAATCCATCCTAAAATAAGTCTCGGCACTTTTGTAGTGTTATCTGTCGATGTATTTGTGGCATCTATCGAATATTGTATTTATGGAATCTATGTAGCTCATGTGTATGTGTCATAACACAAAATATAATAATAAACTATTTTAGTCCTTTACTAACTAGTGTAAATGATGATTGTACTTAGCATATATGTAATAGGTATTCAAAAGGTTATTTATAACTGATACAACAACATAAATAAGTGTCATATTTATTTTATCATTGACTGAAGCAAAGCTGACTAAGTGAGATGGTTAAGACTTGACTGGCTGGTCTTTTAAGATTAAGCACTCTGAACAGGGAAGGGAACAGGGTGAGACTATGAAGCCTTTTGGCATATAATCATATGTAACGTAAGGTATTGTCATCGCTAGGAAGAGTTGCATTTCAAGTATTTATTAATCATTAGTAATTAAATATTATCTCTAATTAAACTTATAGGAATATATTTATGGAACGGTAATTTTTATTTCCATGTTTCATGTAAAAGATTTTTTTGAATAAAATTTCATTGTTTCAATTCTCCTCTTTTTAATATCTGCATTTTTTACCCGAATTGAGACCCGTGGATGACAAAGTACAGTTTGACGGACTGGTGTTCGAATTACCCCAAAACAAAAAATATTTTTGATTGGTATAATTCTAAAAGCACATTGCATTCCCTATTAAACACATTGAGCTACATAACAACTATTATACAATAAGGTTAAAAAGAATCTAAACAACCAGTGGTTCACAGAAAACAGACGTAAAACAACCAGAGTGCACTTGCCGTGAGAGTGAAGCTAGTGGAGGCCCAATCCTTTCCTAATCTCTCCCCAGTCCCAAATCTACGAAACACATATCCGTTAAGGCTTGTAACTCCTCTTGTCCGTAGGCGGCACCGATTGCTTACCATCAGAAAACAAGTCTGCTTGATGATGAAAGGGTTCTGACAATTTTATGGGACAAACCCGCCACAACCTCCCAAAACCGCTACAACTCCTGTAAGTCAAGATCTACAGTAGTTTCAACCATGAAAACACCGAAACACTGATATCCAGCTCGTCCCAAGGACTAAATATCTTGAGGTGCCGCAACAAAATTAATCAGAATATTATATTTGAGAAGAAAACATTTTGGTGGTTTCACAAACTTTGAAAGGAAAAAACAATACTTATTTATGCAGCTAAAAACGAGAAGTTTTTATTTAAATTATATCATTCTTGAATCAATAAAACAACCGCTTTATTTGATAGTTTTAATACGAGGTACATTATTATATAAATACAAAAGAGGTTAGTTATTTGTTGTAATATTTCAAACATTTTACATAAAAGGAACCGAAGAGAAGTCATTAATGACACATAAAAAATAGATAAGATATATAATAACCATAAAAAAATAATCCCTCTTAAGGGATTCAATAAAAACCCTGCATTCCCTCTAAGAGGGTGATCAGTCCTAAAGTATATACCCTTATGCCGTACACAATTTTTGGACTGGTATTTGAAAACACACATTTTAGCATAATATCAGGGCAAGATATGAAAAGAAATAATTGGAATAACATTATTTCGAAATGCACAATGTATATACAGGGTGCCCGGTAAAGAATAGATGACCTTCAAATGCGTTTTAGTATATCTTATGGTTATTCAGAAAAAAAAACGAAAAGGAAAGTATCACAAGTAGTACGTAAGTTATGATGTCTTGAAGTAGAAGAACTGGTGCTAGAGGTAATAGAAAAAGGGCCTTCAACATTCACGTACAATACATACTTAACACAATTTGTCTAATTTAAATTAATTTGCTAGTTTTTTATAAAAACTTATTTTTTCGTAAATTTATTTCTTGTACATTTTCTGAATGGCCATGAAATGTTCTTAAAGGCATCAAGGTTATCCATTATTTACCGGACATCCTGTATATTTTTCGACATGTTAATCTTTTATTAGATAATTATCTTTATACCATTAGATTGTCAGTAGTATTTGTGTATCAATCTTAATATAAAAGTTTAATTGTATTTTTCAATGATCATTTGACTAGTTGTGCTTAAACAATCAACTACATACATATGTTAATACATTTTGATTAAATTCATTTATGTATCATCATCGCCATTCACATAATTGGTATATATACATATATGCTACTGCCAAAAACATCTTAACGATTGCGAAAAAGGTTTTTTTAGTTTACTTAGCTACTTAGCTTAACAGTCTTGATAAAATGGGAAGTTAGCATTTTTATTAAATACTATTTACATTACCACACATCGAAAGATAAAAACCACTGTATATAGAGTACGTACTAATAAATTACCTGATATGCTGGTCTACAATCTAAGTTTTTTAAGTCATAGCTGAAGTATGGCTTACCGCCTAAAAAAGATTAAAAATTCAAACCCATTAAAAGCACTCACTTGGGAAATTAAAGAAAGACGGAACAGATTACTGAATTGTGCTTCATTTTTAACAGTCTTCATACAATAAAAACTATCTTTCAATTCCCATCGAATCAACGCGTGTAAAACTGAAAAGATATTTAAAATTTAAAAGTACAGTCGGTGATGAAGGGGTCCCTTATCAGGTTGGTTCTTACAGTATCCTCTCATTGGACTTACAAGTATACTGTAATGTTGGCGTATCTAGTGAAATAATACTTAAAACACTTCCATGTAATAGACGGTGTTATAAAATGAACTCATAACAAAAGAACAAATTTTAAATAAAATCACGGGACATAGTTTTGTGATGTTAGCCAGCACCAGCAAGGTGTTGCGTCAATTCCAATGGAGTCTATGTACCTTGGCTATAAATGCTAATCAATTACCCATTGTAATTTATAGAAATTATTTTTTTTTTTTATTTAGCATATAAACATATAAATTACATTTTTAAATATTTCTTAAAAATAAATAATAAAAAACATTTAAAAATATAAAAAATAGTGTCCCACCGGTATCGGGAACTGGGTCCAAGCTACCGGCGGTCAGGGCTCCAGAGAAAGGAACCTCCTGACAATACGAGCCGTGTCCAGGAGTACCACTTTCTGAATCAAGCCCTTGATCCAGCCACCTAACGAGAGCCTCCTAAGATGTTGGTCGAGGCTCTTGGCTATTAAGCCATTGGCTGACACGACTATCGGTACAATGATAGCTGAATCCACTTCCCACATGTCGACAACCTCGCGAGCCAAGTCGATATACTTGATCAGTTTATCTTTCTCGGCTTTCACAAGGTTCTCGTCATGTGGGACGGCTATGTCAACAATCATTGCACGCCTCTCCTTCCGGTCCACCACCACAATATCAGGCTTATTGGCCACAATAGTCCTGTCAGTGATGATAGACCGGTCCCAGTACAAGGTGATATGACCATTATCAAGGACTGGGTCGGGCTCATACCTGTAGTACGGCACTTCCGATTCCACAAGAGAGTATTTCAGAGCAAGCTGTTGATGTATGATCCTGGCTACAAGGTTGTGCCTGTGCAAGTACTCGCCGTTAGCTAGACGAGAACAGCCAGAGATTATGTGACGAATTGATTCTCCCGGACGGTGACATGCCCGACAGATGTCAACCGTGCCGTCCTTCACAATAAATCTCCGGTAGTTATTCGTCATGATAACTTCGTCCATAATTGCACAGACAAACCCTTCGGTTTCCCCAAAGAGGTCACCAAAACGCAGCCAGGCTACGGACGCCACCTGGTCTACATCCGGTCCATGTAGGGCTCGGAAAAAGCGTCCATGAAGCTCCTTGCTCTGCCATACTTCCCTGCGAGCGTTAGTGTCAAGTACGACGGGTTTGCGCCAGTTCTCGATAGCCAGGGAGAGCGGGGTGAGACCTTTGTCCACTGCCACTACATCTCGATGCATATCCACGTCGGCAGCTAGGAAATATTCCCTGAGACTACATACCTCGCGGTTGTGTAGGGTCTTGGCATTTAAAAAGCCTCGACCCCCACACTTCCGCGGGATATACAGTCTCATCACCGACGACCGCGGGTGATGCATTCGGTATGCAGTCAGCATTGTTCGGACTTGCCTATCCAGGGCGTCCAGTTCAGTTTGAGACCATTTGAGTACGCCGAAAGAGTACATCAATACCGGCATGACCCAACCGTTGAAGGCGCGCACTTTGTTTCCACCTGAAAGAAAGCTATTAAATACCTTCTTCAGGCGACCAAAGAAACGCTCCTTCAGCGATTGCTTCATGTCAGTGACATTGATGCCTAAAGCTTCCGACATACCCAAATACTTATAGGTTTCTGTTGGAGAGAGGGACCTCAGGTTTATGGAATCCGTGAGTTGAGTTCCCACAGATTCCACAACCTCCCCTCGTTTTACATGCATGATCGCACATTTGTCCACACCAAACTCCATCCTGATGGCACTACTGAAAGTTTCAGTTAGCTTGAGTAGCTCCATCAGTTGCAGTTTGTTGGGGGCAAAAAGCTTCAAGTCATCCATGTAAAGGAGGTGAGATATAACCTGACCACCTCTCTTCAACCGGTAGCCTAGGCCTGAATTCTCTAGGAGTGTGCTTAGAGGATTCAAGGCTAGGCAGAACCAAAGCGGACTCAAACTATCACCCTGGAATATACCACGCTCGATCCTTACAGGTTCGCTGTTCCTTTGGGTATGTCGACATCCCGGATAGCGAAGGACCGTACTCCATTGCCTCATACAGGACATCAGGAAGGTGCGTAGTATTGTATCAATTTTATACAATTCCAACACCCTCATGAGCCATGTATGAGGAATAGAGTCATAGGCCTTCTTATAATCTATCCAACATGTCGACAGATCCTTTCGGGAACGTCGAACCTGTTGGCTGATGGCCATATCAATGAGGAGTAGCTCCTTAGTACCGCGGGATCCGTTCTTACATCCATTTTGAGCAGTTGACATGATTTTATTTTTGTCAATATGACTATTAATTTTACTTCTCAGTATGGATGTAAGAACTTTATAGACCGTCGGCAGACACGTGATCGGTCTATAATTTTTGGGTTCCGCAGTACTACCTGATTTATGGAGCAGGTGGGTTACTCCTGTCGTTAGAAACTTGGGGAGCGATCCTGACTCTACGGCAGACTGGAATTGAGATGCTAAACGAGCGTGCGCCCTTGTCAACCACTTAATCCAGAAATTGTGCAGTCCATCCGGCCCTGGAGATTTCCAGTTAGGCAACGGACGGACTGCACGGGCAACATCTTGGGGACTGATGTTAATTGTCCCCATTTGTGGTATTGGATCGCACGCGCGTTCGACATCCCGAATCCAGTCACCCTCAGTGTGACTGACAGGTACCGACCAGATGCTGCGCCAGAATGAACACATGGCGTCATCATCCGGGAGGCGTCTATCAGTCACACCATGATCCGGTCGCTCCCAAGTCCTATACACCCACCTTTCATTACTCCGGAATGTGCGATTCTGGGTATATCGTTCCACCCGTCGCCTGTACCTCCGAATACGGTTTGCCCATGCATATACCTTCTGCTTCAGAAAGTCGATGCGCTCTGTGACGCGGGACATATAGTCTCGGGGGCTGATATCTGTCCCCGAAAATGCCCGTCTCACAAAGCGCATCACTCTGGGGCGGGTATTGCCTTCCCTGAAGCAGATTAATTTGCCGATGAGTGCTCTGGCCCCAGCAATACGACACTCAATCCTGCGCTGCCAGGCCGGTACAGCTGGTTTCGGCCGTGTGGTTACGTCATTAGTAGGGAATTTGACGTGAGCCACACGACATGCCGCTACGGCCGCGCAGTACATTATCGAGTGTGTATCACCGAGGTCTTCGCAGTCATCTAAATAATTAGATAACTGCGAATCCAGTGCAGCCACCAGCGCTCTATTCTTGTTATGCATGGGCAAACGAGGCAAGCGTGGTCTGAGTTCGGGTGATATGTAGCGATATTCCCGAATCGCACATTCCAAAGCACTCCTCAATTCATCAATGCACTGGGTACTTACGTGTGCAACCGTATCAGTACTTTCCTCATCAGCGACGGTACTAACAATACCGTGGCTGGTCAGTGGCAAAGTCGCTGGCACCACAGTCCGCGACGAGGAGGCACTGGCACGGCTACCCATTTCCGTTTGAAGGCGATCAAGCACAGTATCGTCCAGCATACGGTTACGCTGGATGACCCGCACCTGATCCGAAAGTCGTTGAGCTGATACGTTGACGGCTGGCTCAAGCACCTGAAACAGAGAGAGCATCCGAACACGGTACGCGGTCAGGTTGTTTCCTCCCTCTGTAGCCCCATAGTATGCGCGCATGACGTTTTCATTTATTGCTTGTGTCCATCGCATGCGCTGCACACTTCCGCCGGCGGCTGGGACCCTATCAGAAGCCGGTGGGCCTCGAGGTCCTAAGCGGGCCGGCGGCCGGCGTCCTCCCCGGCGACGCGTAGGTGGTGGTGTCGTCGGCGGTGAGTAATACTCGTCGCTGGAGCTCGACGCAGCTGCCACGGCCGGTGTCACATCACTCACGGTGGGGCTGGATTCCGGCGGCGGCGAGGCGGAGCTGAGCGACGAGGCCGGAGGTGGTGGGCGTGCACGACGTGCTGCGGCTCTCGTCAACATGATTGTTTCTTCCGAGTTCTTATGTAGTTATGTCATTACCTTTTTTCTCTTTGTCTTATTGTACGGAATTTTCTTCATTTTGTCTGTTTGTGTTGTTGTTTTTGCCACACAGGGTTTTTTTTTATTTAGTTTATTATTGGTATTATATATATTTGTATTTATTATAATTTTATAAATTTTGCAGAGAAAAAATTTGACATTTCATATTGACATCGAGCCAAAAAATTATTTTTATTATTATCCATATCGCAATAGAGAGAAATACGTTTTAGTGTTTAGAGTATGATCCGCTTAATGTAATCCATTTAAAAAAATCAGCCTTTCTAATGCGAAACTCCTATACCACCATGATATTAAGCCCTACATTTCATTGGGTCCCACACATACTTTTGTTTAAGAAATTACAGCGTTTTGTACGCTGTCATTACATATTACATACAACGTGATTAGTAACACGACGCATTCTCTTTAGATTCTCTAAGATAACATTGTACCCATAGTTACAATACATATTTCAAACTAGTTTCATTAATGTCAAAGTAACATATTGTATACATATGTTTTATAACACGTCCACGTTGTTGTATCTATATATAAAAATGTTTTTTAGCTTTGCTGAAACAACGTGGATGTTTTATAACACTAGGCATTAATATTACTGAAATTGTAAAAGCTGTTGAAATATTATTTTTAATTTAAAAATTTCATTTATAGTGCCTTAAGGCCAGAATAAAATGTTGAACTAATTTCTTGGCAACAATGGGTACGATTTTTTATATAAGAAAATCCGTTGCTTACTTCATTAACAAGAATAGATCATGTTAGTAGTCAACACTGTATATATTTATATAAAATACAGTATGAATAGATCCTTATATTTAAAAATATATTCAGGTGAGAAAGATAAAAATGGCAGAAAAAAAATCATATTGTTAAAAGCCTCCGAGATGATATTAAAGTTGAATCAAAGAAGCCTTGACATAATAAGAGAAAAATGTACCACACTAAGCTTATCAAGAGAAGCACAAGATACACAAAAGACCCGAAACCTTTACTATATACACTTTATTGGCACCTATTTACACAATCGTGTTCTGGCAAAATTTTATATAATAAACTGGTAGATTGAACAAAGCAAGGAACCCAATGACAAGATGAAGAGATTGGCAGACATTCTGTTCTCCAGCCTTGATGAATCAGTGGCTCAATACTATAAGGCACAATGGGGTGTGTCTAGAGTAAAGAGGGGACCTCCCATGCTACAACGATGCTTGGTGAGAACACACAAACTGTTGGCGGACATACCACAAAGCTTAAGGACAGGAGCAATCTAAGACATATTTTTCGCTGACTTCTCACTGGTGCAGTAAACGAGCTGCGAGCCAAAATCCAGATTGTTTTAGAAGATAATATGCTCCTTACAAAGCAGGTAAGGATTATTCTAAATTATCTGGATCCAAGAGAAAGGCCCAATACTATCAACGAGTAGTATCAAAAACTAAATTCAACTTAAACATACAACAGTACACAACAATATTGTAGTAAATTATACCATCGACAGTATCAAAGAAGATATAATATGGGTAGACCCAAGTACTTGCTAGCATGCATAATTGCAGAAGAAATCTCAAATACCAGCTGAGGAATTGAAAGAAATATGTTTGTCGTCCGGCATTTCACAGATCCCATTCAATACCATGTTGGAATGAATAAATCCATCGGCGTCAATAGAATTCTTGTGGGCAAGGGCATTGTTTGAAAGGCCAACAATCCTAGAACGCCGCAGAGGTCCAATGAGAATGTCCAGATCCAAGGGAGAGAAGAGAGGCTGCGATCTTTAGCAAGAAGAGTATTTACAACATTAGGTAATTACGCAGATAATAATTATTTAAATACCTTGGTAGGCTTGACGTTAATACCCGCGTAATTGTATGTTGTAAATATGGAACGCGAAAGTTTCAAAGTTAAGAAGAGTATTTCCAGAGCCATAAAAATTTGAAATTATATTGTTAACTTCAAGTATAGCTATATGCGAGGGAAAGGCTTATTCCACTTTTCCCTGTTGGATGATCCCCATTGATGGGGATTAGTGAACTTTTTGTTTACTATTCCCCGTTGACCCAAAATTTTTATTTAATGGGGATATGTGTATAATGGACAAATTTAATAGAAATAGTCAGCACATTTTCAACCATGAGGGACCTTATATCTCTTTTTAAGTAGATTGCAAAACATATTATTATTTCGGCATCAACCCAATTCCGAATATTTCACGGCTACCAATTGTCCTTAGATTCATCTTGAAGAATTCTCTTGCCTTAAAATCCGTGTTGAGATTAGTAGAACATATTTGAAATCTTTTGCAGACGACGTCATTTGTAGAAACCACAGAATGATCAGATGTTTCAACCTAACGGAAACCATTAAGGAGATATTCTATTATTATCTGAGGAATACACTGATAGAAAAGATAACTAATAAAGACTTTATATGGAAGAACTTTAATGTGAATAAGTTTTTAGGAGCATAATCCAGGTCCTAAGGGCTAGCACAGACTAATAAACTCAGCTTACACAAACTATCATTTTATCTGTTTTCTCTACTGGTTTGCAAATAGTGACCCACGCTTTAGAAGGGCCACTAACATACTGCTTGCCTGATGGCACGGTGATTGATATGGGAGCAGAGAAAGGCATCTTCCTATACAGTCCCGAACGCAATAGTTACTTGCTGTATGAAAGTAGCTAAGGCATTAAGGAACACAACAAACGCAAAACTACTGTCCGGAGAACTTGAGGGATACAGAATACTTCACCCCGCAATCGAAGGAAATAGAATTGTGACCGTTCGATATCACACACAGCCGTGAAAGACTCTTCAATCTCATATAATACCAAGTCAACCATGTATGACAACTAGACGATATAATCAAAAGAGTGGAGCACCAGGGAAGAAATGTTAGTCTGGGTAAAAGACGGTTAGAGTGCGAAGAGCTCGACTACGAACATTTGTCATACGACAGGAAAAGAAGGAAACAGGAAGGGGAACAAAGATCAATTGCGTACTCGGATGACATATTGGTTAGGGGAAAGGATCCAGAAGTTGGTGTGATGATGGATACATTTGATTCGGATGAAGACATTTCAATTGTAATTTGTATGCAATGTATATGATATAGAAAAAAATCTAAGCTACCTTCAGTCTTAACAGGGTTCCTTACAATGATGCGTATGTTCGAATGAAATAGTACCTAAGTTACCTAACCCTTCTCTCATTTATGCACAATATTTCTTCTTCTTATGTGATTTTACACAATTTTCCTTTTCCCTCAAATTATTTTAAATTCAATGATACAATTTAATACATTTATATTGCTATGACAACATATCAATTCTTATTAAACTTAGGATGAAAGATAAAACAGAAAACGATCTCCCCCAATGAGGTTTATATCATTTTTATTCACAAAATGATCTCATGGGTTTTCGCATAACTTTTTAAATATGGTCAAGTTCTATCTTGCTTTTAGGCGGACAATAAATACATCATTATGTCTGGCGGTTATCTTGCTACTTCTCAAACTAAATGCATAGCATCAAGAATATGTATAATTAAATTAACAACAACAAATTAAAGATGTATTTCGTGTGAACCCCATCTTTCGTCTCGATATTTTGTTCACTTACTGGTTCGAACGTGATGGGAGTGGGCGATCGTCTAACTCCGTGACTATAACGGGCATAGTAGACCTGGCAGTTAAGAAGCGACGTGGTTTGACATCTGCAGGAAGGGCCGCTTTACGCTTCTTTCGCCTTTCTGTTGGCTGAGGATATTCTTCGTCCTCGGATGACGATGACGATTTCGAGCGTTTTAAGTTTTGCAACTCAGATGTATTACGATGTTCAATGAAGAAGGATTTGATTTTCTTCATGTATTCGCTAACTTGCCTGGCCTCAGTCGAATCAGCTTCTCGCTGTACCGGTGAAGCAGATTGATCTATCAAAACACAAAGTAGGCAAACAATTAAATACATTTTTACTATTATTATATTATTGCTCTCCTATATTAATATTGAGAAAAACAAGTTCGAAGGAACAAAAAATTGTTCGAGACATTAGTATGGACAAATAAAAAAATATTTTTTATAATCATCACAAACTGTCCAGTTAGTAGTTAACTTGTAATTTAATTGTCAATTTTATAGGTTGTTAGCCAGCAAAGAATCTGTAACTTTTCTGATGTTGCGAGTTAAAAAAAATTTAATGTACAGGAGGCACATGTAGGGCATTATGGTAAAAAAATTTAATGGAAAATTGGAAAGACCTGATCAAAATCTACATTGACTTATTTTCAACGCTCCCTGATAACATTACAGATGACCCTCACTTTCCGCATATTTTTCTAACAGATAGTTATACTCACATTCCATTTCTTCATCAAAGTCTCCTTCCGGTTCAATCTGTCCCCCCAACTCCGCCAGGAACTGCTTTATCAGCTCCTTAAATGAGACGTTTTTATTACGTTAACATATACCAACTTTAACATAGCCAATAGACCACCACAGACGAAGCCCTATGAGGCTGATGAACAGCCGGTGTTGCAGGGCAAGCGCAATGAGGCAGCGCGGCTTCGGCCCAGAGCAAGAAAAGCAACGGTGGGGTTTTAAGTCAGTAAAATTCTGACACTCCCTTCTAGTCCCCTCCTCCTCTAAGGCCTTTGATGATTTTCCCATCACCAAAAAAAAAAACATTAAAGGATGAAAACCTACGCTATCAAGAACTTTGCCGGTATAGTGTATGTGTACCTATAGGCTAACAATAATGCTATTGCAAATGCCACAACGCACATTACAGGCAAAAATGAACGACACAAACAATTTATTGAACCGCTACTACATCGTTGTTTTTAATAACAGTCGCGCAATCTGAGAGCAATGCTTAACAATTCGCCATTGTAACACCTCAAAAAAATTAACCATGACCCCCCCCCCCACACTAGGATTTTCTCCTGTGTCGTGGGTGCGTTTACAAACATACAATTCCACATACACATCACACCCAGACACGGAACAACAATTTGTGGATCACACAGAAAGTTGTTCCGTGCGGGAATCGAACCCGCGACACGTTGCGCGGCATCCAGTTGCCCAGCCACCGCGCCAACCGTGCAGTCAAAAAATTAATAAAAAAATGCATTACCACGCCATATTTAAACTATCGAAAAAAAAAACATTTCTAGCCCGCTAAGCTTCAGCTCTTATGAGCCATAATTAAAATAACGCTTTCTGTATATCAGAAAATGTTTGTGTTGTGTGTCATGTACATGTGATTTTCTGTTGAGAGAACATATTAGAGTGAGGAAACGTTAAAAATATTACATCTATTTAGCTATAGCGAACACAAATTAATATAAATATATTTCTTATAATTTCATTAAGTAGGTAAGCATATTTTTCTGAAGTATATAAACAGTACCTTTCGTATAGCTATTCTCTTTGCTTGATCCATCATAAATGCAGAACTGCCACTCCTTCTAACACCCACTTTTGACGTTGTAGAACCCGTCGTGACTAAAACAAAACATACAAAATTATAAATAAAGATCACTGGATCCCATTTATTCAAAATGGCGACAGTCTGCGTTGAAAGATTTAGCGGTGAGTAAAATCGTTGTAAGTTTGTACAGTCCTTTAAAATAAATACACAGTTTATTGATACTGCCACTTCAGTATGACATAAATAAACATCTAATAAATACAATAAAAGACAAACTACTTAGGCATTTCTTAAAATTGACGACTTTTAATTACTACACTTCCGATTCACTTACATTGTTAATACAGAAGAAATAAATATCCTGAAAAATATTAATTTATTTATAAATATTCACTTACAAGATAGGAATAATTCGGACAAAAGAACCGATCGTCGCAGTAAACTCACGGAGGGCAACTACCGAGGGGCGCGGTAATAGAACGGCTTGTGGGACGACGCGTCCCTCATAGGCGCATGCGCGATCAATTCGTAAAGTGGAACTACCACTTTAACAACACCGAAATGCATAATTTTATTAAAATCGTGAAGACCATCAAATGCATAAAAACATTTTGCATTTATCCTTATTTAACTTTACCCAACACATAGTCGTGGGTACGCCAAAAACATAGAAAAGTACATGTACATTGCACCCAGAGATGGACCAACAATTTATGGACCATCAGTTGTCGTTGATCGAATCGAACTCTCGACACGTTACACAACAGCCAGCTAGCTCCCCGGCCACCCAACTGGGCAGTCAAATCTAAATACAATCATCGATACTCTATAAAACATCCTTTCACAGTTATTGTTAACTGACTAAATTGAAGAGTACTCTTTCATGAAAGGTTTGCTGTGACCAAAAATGGTTATATAATCTACATCTAATGTCCACATAATATCATAACCACAACAAGTCGACTTATGATTTTTTGTTTGAAAACTTTTCTGAAAGTTAGTTTCTTAGATGTTATGTTGACAACCCTACCGGCCTCGGCTCCTTACGACCCACCTCACGGCTCGGGTGTCAATGCGTCTCAGCAGTAATCACCAACATTGCACATAAACCATAATGTACTTAGGTTCGGCTACTTCCGACCAAATCGATACCCTTCTCAATTTTTTGGACGAGCATAGGGATCTAGCTCGCGGAAGGTTAAGATAGAAATGCCTAAGCAAAGAGGCTGTGGGAAGAATTGTGAAATCTGCTCAATTTCATGGGTGGTTGCACTAAAATAATTCATTAATTAAAAAAGGTATCTAGTGTTTTATTATTTAATTAATAATATAGGTATATCACTTTATGATTTTATTCTCACAGTTTGATAGAAAACATTTAGCAAAGAAATCGGATGCTGATGCTAGGCAATCAGCTTCTGCGACTGGTGGCGGTTCATTTATGGAACCCCGACTCTCCCAATAACAATGAAACAATGAAACAATGAATTTATTTTTGCAAATAGGCCATAAAACGGCACTTTTACACGTCAATTTATATGTGAAAAACTAGATGAAGCCGGCATTTCCTATCTGACTACTCTGAGAAGAAATGCCGAAACAAACTCAGAGGTCAGTCTCTTTTCAAGTCCAGACAATGTAAAAATAACATAATGTGAGAGAATCGTGCAAGTTCATTCTGTAGTGGTCTTTTGAGGAAAGAACCACACCAGTTTAAGTGGACCCGTTCTGAAGACAGGCACGCAAGTGTCAGTTTGCAACCAGTATAGCTAGTGCTGCTGAGTTGTCCGACGAACAATACCGATCTAAAGAACATTTGGGTGGGTCGCGCAAGTACTCAAACTGTCAGAACGCAGATAACTGGTAATCAAAAAGCACGGCAAGTCTCACACGGTCCTTACACTAACAATAATATAAAATAATAAAAATGTCAATAAATAAATAAAAAAAAATGTCAAAAAAATAAAAAATAAACGTAATGTCAAATTGTATATAAAATTGTAACTTATGTTACAAACATGTCAACATGACCTGTGCAGACATTACAGCGGCTCATTCCCATGCCTGACTATCCTCTAAGTAGTCTTTTATTTTATAAAATGCTTTACAGCAAAGTTTAGCCTTTATTACACTTTTAAATTTATTGAGGCTCAAATTTTGAATATCGCTAGGAATTTTATTGTAAAAGCGTATACATTGACATCTAAACGAACTAGTTATTTTCTGAAGCCTGGAGGCAGGGACAACATATTTGTTTTTCCCCCTCGTGTTAATATTATGTATATCACTATGCTTCTTAAATAAGCTTTTGTTTTTATGAGCGTGAATTACATTTTCATAAATATATTGTGAGGCAACCGTCATTATCTTAGTTTCCTTAAATAATTCTCTGAGCGAATGCCTCGGACTAAGATTATAGATTGATCGAATAGCCCTTTTCTGCAGAACAAAAATAGACTGAATGTCAGCAGCATTCCCCCACAACAAAATACCGTATGACATGATGCTGTGGAAATAACTAAAATAAACTAACCGCGCTGTATCTACATCTGTTAAATTTCTAATTTTTTTAACGGCATATGCTGCAGAACTGAGCTTCTTCGACAAGCCACCTATATGAGGGCCCCACTGGAGCTTAGCGTCCAGGGTTATACCTAAAAAGACAGTTGTATCTACAGGACTCAACTCCTCGCCCTTGACAAGCACACTGGTTTTTACCTGTTTAACATTTGGTGTTGTGAATTTAATACATTTAGTTTTAGTTTCGTTTAGTAATAAGTTATTAACACCAAACCAGTGAACTATTTCTGAGAGAGCACTGTTTACATTGTCAATAACTAATTGTCGTCGTCTGAGTTTGAATAATAGTGAGGTATCATCAGCAAACAGCACTATCTCGTGTTTATCCCTTACAAGGTAAGGCAAGTCATTAATATAGATAAGAAATAAAAACGGGCCGAGAATAGAACCCTGCGGAACACCCATCTTCACAACAGACCCGGCAGAAACCACTCCGTTTACTTCAACTCTCTGAACCCTATTACTCAGGTATGAGGTAAGAAGGTCCAGAGATGCACCTCTTATTCCGTAATGGGATAGCTTCCTGATCAGTGTATCATGAAGCACACAATCGAACGCCTTGGATAAATCACAAAATATTCCCAAAGCGTCGCTTGAGTCCTCCCACGCGTCGTAAATGTGATTAAGAAGTTCAACACCGGCATCAGTTGTTGAACGACCCCTTGTAAATCCGAACTGTTTCGCATGTAATAATTTATTTCTATTAAAAAAAATCTTTGCATTTGATCTAAAATAATTTTTTCAAAAATTTTACTGAACGTAGGTAGCACTGAAATAGGTCTAAAGTTAGTGGGGTCAGAAGTACTACCTGATTTAAATAATGGAATTATTTTACTACATTTCATAAGATCAGGAAACACACCACAGTCAATACAGTTATTAAAGATTTGAGCTAATACAGGTGCTACAATAGTTATTACAGAGCTTGTAATATACACAGAATTGCCCCATAGATCTGCAGTCTTTTTGTTATTCAAAGTATTAAAGATTTTAACAATTTCCTTGTTATCTATGTGCTCGAAGGAAAACCCTGAATCGCAAGCTACAACATGTTTTTTGAGTAAAGACTCTGCAACAGTGGGAGATGAATTCAGTGACTTAGTAGTGGATACAGGAATGTCGGAAAAGAAATTTTCAAAAGCAGTTGCAATTTCTACATCCGCTTTTATTAACTTATTATCAATTACAAGACTATGTTGATTTATTCTCTTTTTAGACCTTCCTGCCTCACTGTTGATAATATTCCAAGTGTCTTTGATAACATTGGTACTGTTCTTTATCTTAGAGCTTAAGAATAATGATTTAGCAATAGAGCAAACCTTTTTGAATAATTTAGAATAGTTTTTTACATATTCACTGAATTCAACAGTGTTAATATATGTCCTCTCATTATAAAGCTCATAGAGGCGCTTTCTACTCTTATAGATACCAGTGGTTGCCCAATCACCGAAAGACGCATTGCTATTAGCTGGTATAGTTTTATCTGAAAAAGTAGACTTAAACTCTGTTAGGTACATTTTAAAAAACTTATCATATAAAGTGCTAGAATTCTTATAATTCAACAACAAAGGCAATTTGTTGCTGAGTTTAGCTTTGAAAAATTCAATGCGTCTTTTATTTTTATTTATTTATTTATTTAAACTTTAATGTACACAAAACAAGTGATGGTACATAAGGCGGACATTAATGCCATATGGCATTCTCTCCCAGTCAACCTTAGGGTTAAATAGGAAATCGGCGATAAAATAGGCATGTGTAATTATTATAAGGAATAAATAACATACATAGACTTTACAACATAGATACTCAAAATATTTACTTCTAAATACTACCTAAATATATGTTAATATAAGTAATATATACTACATAAATAATTTCTGCAACAATACATATACAATAAACATACTAATATATAATAGATAAAGACCGAGACTCAGCGTTGTAGTGACTTTAAGTAGAATTCATAAACATAGCGTTTGAAAGTTATTTTATTTGGAGCCTTTTTTATATTAAGCGGTAGTGCATTCCACAACTTAATAACATAGACTGTGAAGGAGTTAGAAATGAAGGATGTTCGGTGGGATGGAATCTCAAGAATCAGATTTTCGGCTGAACGGAGATTACGGCTGTGAGAACTCCCCAGAAACTGGAAACAAGACTTTAGGTATTCAGGAGCACAAGGATCGTTTAGAATAGAGAAGAGCATGCAAAGAGATCTGAGAGATCTCCTCTCACGGATAGGAAGCCATTTAAGTTGAGCGCGAAAGGAAGAAATGTGATCGTATTTACGAAGACCGAAGATAAACCGAATACAGTTGTTGAGCATTCGATCTAACTTATTCAGAAGGTCTTGGGATAGGTCAGAGTAACAAACATCAGCATAATCAATCACAGGAAGCACAAGGGACCGGACCAGTAGCACTTTTGTATTTGAGGGCAGAAAGTTTTTGAATCGATAGAGAGATCGCAACGTAGCAGTGACTTTC